CTGAGATTTACTTTTTCTTGGAGTATATTTTGCTGAATTCCTCTGCCACCACCACACAGGCCTCAGGGAAACTTTCTGAGTTTCTCCAGAATGCAATGGGAGGCCCTCTTCAAGTCGGCAGGGTGACCCACCTAAGGCAGCAGGGTGCAGAAGCAGAGGGCGCTGAGGAGACACAGCTCCGGGTTTAATTCTGGTGCCGCCACTGGCAGCTGCATGCCTTGATCTGGGCTATTGCGTCATCAGCAGTCACCCTTCCTCCTAAAAGCTCAATAAAAGCAACGAACATGGGAACGCCAGGAAATACAGTCACCAGGAGATGAAAACAACACAGAAAATGGGCTGGTTTTGCAATGTCAGTGTGAGTTTTTAATATGTCCCTTTTGTGCCCAGAAAAGAATATTCAGAGGGCCACTTTGGCTTTGTAAAATTTATGTTCCCAGTATTAGAGATGCAAATCAGAAGCCAAGTTCTTCCTTAAGCCTTTGTATTTAATGTATAAACAAATTTAAAATATATTTTATAAATTTAACTTATTCCATGCCCTTATAAAGTAATTTGGTCCTCTGAGCTAACCAACATGACATTCCTGAATACCTAAAAAACTCAGAAATCTAGCAATTTATGAATACGGTTCAATTCTTAGGTTTTCCCAAATGTTCCAAGACTGCTTTTAAAGGAAAGTTCTATTTCAAGTCACGTCTACACCAATTACACATTTTAAATTAGAATTACAAGGCCAATTTGTAACTGTAACAGACTGAATTCTCTTAAACACTGCAAATACCTAAAATACCAAATATGCACAAATTCCTTAATGCAAACATAATGATGCTATGTGTTTGATTTTCTTAAATATTCTATCCTGAGTTAAAATGTCCTGGATATTAAAACAAACTTACCCACTAGGAAATATGTCATCCCAAATGGCTGGGGAGCCCCTTCCCAAGTGACTTTTTGGAAACAGGTCTTCCGTGGCCCAGAGAGCATAACCAGCGGAGATTTGTCCCAAGGCTTTTGGGAAGCTCTTCTCAAGCCCCCAAGTACCCCACTGAGCCCTGTTTTATGGGTGCTGTGTCATTACTCTCTGAGTGGGCCAAGGCCCCTAGATTCAAGTTACACTCCATCTCATTCTTCAACCTACACACGGAAGTCAGAAACTCTTATCTACATTGCTACGCCACTTGTTTGGATATAATGAATCTATTTAAGGATTCATTCTATTCTGAATTCTTTCCACACTCTTCCCAGCTTCTGGGGTCACAACTCCTACAGATGGTTGAGTTTCTCCTGGTGTTGACTAACTCTGGTCACAGGCCGAATGTTACACCAGAGACATGTAACAGGAAGATTAACATGTAATAGAGAATGGGCTTTGGGCTAGGATGAATGAAACTCTTTGGAAGGTGGGAGAAAAATGTCATGGAATTCCTTTGATTCATTATGCTCTTCTGATATGTGATATGTTTCAAATGTATTATTTCTACCTGCCTCTTAAACTAGGCAGTGAAATCTTTTCTTAATTTATTTTTAAGAAGATTTTTATTGATCTTTTAGAGAGAGAGGAAGGGAGAGGGAGAAACAGCGATGTGAGAGCAGGGCATTGATTAGCTGCCCCCTGCACGCCCCCTGCCAGGAATGGAGCCCACAACCCAGGCATGTGCTCTGACTGGGAATCAAACCAACAGCCTCTTGGTGCACAGAATGATACCCAACCAACTTAGCCACACTAGCCAGGGCAAGTGTGTGTGTGTGTGTGTGTGTGTGTGTGTGTGTGTGTGTGTGTGAATGTGTGTACTAGAGGCTCGATGCACGAAATTCGTGCAAGGGGCTTGACCCTTGCAGCCGTGGTGGCTGCCTCGGCCCTCGCAGCCCCAGCTTTGTCCGGAAGGTTGTCTGGAAAGTTGTCTGGAAGGTCATTCAGTTGTCCCATCTAATTAGCATATTACGCTTTTAATAGATATATATATATCTCCTTGATTGCTACAACTTAGGAGTGTTTTTTTATTTCCTGGCTCCAAATCACAGCCTCCTCCAAAGCCATAACCTGTGTTGGGCACAGATTAGGACCCGAGTGATATGTAGAAAAGAGAAAACCCAAGAAGCTCTGTGCTTTCTTAAGGCAGTACATGGGATTGTTGGGGAATTACTGGAGAAACAAATAAACAAAAAAGAATGAGTTGACAGCCCTGGCTGGTGTGGTTCAGTTGACACAGGTGTCTCTTAGATTAGGACCTTGAATGTTTCCACTAGCCAAGACTGAGAGACTGCAGGAGCAGGGGCAAGTTTGGAAGCCAGGCAGATCTGAGGTCAGTTCTGAGTATGTTTCTTAAGATGCCTGCAGGACACTGAGGAGGCTAGTGACAGTCAGTAGCTGGAGATATGTGCCTGGAACTGGAGAGACTGGGGCTGGAGATATGCTTTGGGGGCAGATAAGTGGCAGTGGAAGCCATGGAAGTGTACCAAGTCGCTCGGAGAGGGCGGTGTGAGCTAAGAATAGGACCTAAGAATAGGACCCTTAGAACACCATCATTTAAGGTGCAGACAGAGGAAGTGGGGCCCGCCCACGACACCGGAGTGAAGCCAGAGGGGTAGAAGAGTGTTTTTCTCTCACTTCCAGTCTATCTTCCTTCGTCAGAAGCATAGGGGTGGGTCAGATAGTGATACTGGTGGGCAGAGCGTGGTATGGTGAGGCCTCCTGGATGCCGTGGGAGCTATATTTGGGGTGGATCGTGTGGGTGTGGTAGGTAGCAGGGAGCTCTCTGCCTTCGATCTCTTTTTTCTAGAAAGCAGCGAAGGGGGTTGGGAGCCAGAATGTTTGGATTCTGTGCTTTCTTAGCCACATCACACTTCACCAATCATCCTTTCCTTATTCTGAGCCCTAGTTTGTGTCAGAAAATCTTTTTAAATATGGGAAGGGGGTATGTGGAGGAGGCAGAGTCGGTAGAGGGAAGGAGAGGAGCTGCCTTACTATGCGCACATGTGTTTGTGTGTTGTGCACACACATGCACATGTGTGAATATATATGTATATATGTGTACATCTTATGTTGGTGTTTATGTATGTGTATTATATGTGTATGTTTTTCTCTGTGTGAATATCTATTAAGATATGTATAGAAATTGAGAGAAAGCATTGAGAAACTTCTGCGCCAAATTTGATAGAGTGATTTTATGTTAATTGAATTTAGATTCAATTAACTCTAAAATTTGTCCTTGTGTTTCTATATCTGTATGTTCTATTTCATTTTTTTTTGTATTTTACAAAATTACTGATCTGAGGCAGATTGCATATAAAACTGCTCCTTCACCCGGATGGCGTAGCTCAGTGGTTGAGCGTTGACCTATGAACCAGGAGGTCGCTGTTCAACTCCGGTCAGAGCACATGCCTGGGTTGCAGGCTCAATACCCAGTGTGGGGTGTGCAGGAGGCAGCCGATCAATGATTCTCTCTCATCATTGATGTTTCTATCTCTCTTTTCTTCTCCCTTCCTCTCTGAAGTCAACAAACAAGCAAAAACACCAAAGAAACAAACTGCTCCTTTACCACAGATAGTTAGGGAAGCACTAGTTGGGACCAGATCAGGATTTCTGGAAGGTCCAGATTCTGAAGCTCCCGAGGGAGAGAAATTCGCTGGAGAAGTCTGAGGCTCCTGCTCAGCATCATATCAGAGAAGCAGGGCCAGGCCTCAGGTCTGGCTGACACCCAGGGCTCAGCCTGCTCTTCCTCTCCTTCTGCCCCTTCCTGTGAGATGGGATCACCAGGCTGTTCTCCAGGGGTGATTGGCAGAGTCCAGGCTGCTCCTCCAAGCCCAAGCTGCTCAGGGTACAGCCCCCCTCCAGTCTGCCAGGCAAGTAAAACGGATGCCTCACAGAGATAAGAAGGGCTTTCCAAACCTCCAAACTTTGCCCTGGACAGTAACGCACCCTCAGTCAGGAAGGTGAGTCTGTTACTGAAGCAAAATCAGACACATTGTCGACACGGGGACCCAGCGCAGGTTCTCCTGCCTTCCTCCTTACATAGTCTCCCCTGCCTGGGATCCCTCTGAACTGTCTGACCACAGCCCTTCTAAGTTTGCATTTGTAATTATATATTTTTATAAATTACAAATTTTTAAAGACAGTCTCCAAAATCCTATAAGGCATAGCCCCCACAACACCCAGCCCGCCCTGCTCACTGAGATCCTTGGGGCTTAAAGGGCCACACCGTCACACACACTCAGAAAGCAATGTAAGCAGCAGTGAAGGGCTAAAGAGAATCGCCTCTCTTCTCTCATTTCGGGCACCCATAACCCCCCCTCCGGAATTAAGAGCATGTGCAGTTGGGAGTGTGGGAGAAAAGTGGTATTTGCAAGGAGGCTGCGGATTAGTAAAGAACTCAAGGGAGGAAATGCAGCAGCAGCGCCAGGAGTCTGCAGAGCGTGGGGCGAGGGAAACACCTGGCCTTAGACAGCATTACCCGGGGCACAGGCACTGGCAGGGCCGGCAGGCCGCCCTGTTGTGGAGGGTCACGGGCCACGATGAAGAATAGGTCCAGTTGCTTGTCTTTGTGCCTGCGATCTTGGTACCTCCCCTAGGGGAGCTCACACGTGGTCAGGGACACGGGCTTCTGGCTCCGGTGGCAGCTTTCCTGGCCGATCTTGCGGCTCTGGTGCGCGTGTGGCAGGTGGTGGCCACACTGGAGAAGGCTTCATGCAGGAAGGTGTGGAGGCCTCTGCAGTGATTTGCAGGCTTGTTGATGTTGCCTGTCACCCCTTTGCATCCCTGGGGGCTGGGCTGTACATTCTGAGTTTCAAACCACTGAGCTGAAACTGTTTGGACTTGGTGCTGACCTGGGCCACCCACAGCCCCAGCAGCAGGAGCAGCAGTAGGGGGCAAATCCCGTTCTGGCTGGGGCCATCTCTCCTAAGGGGGACGATGGCACGGAGGAAGCGGTGGGTGGGTGAGTAGGTCACCACTGGGGGTGTGTTGCTAGCCCTTCTAAGAATTTCATACCCTCAGTCAGTCATTGCAGCCTGGAATATTGAAGAACACCACTGGCATTTTATTGTCCAACGTCAGCAGACCATGTGCCTTTTTATGCTCCCAATAAATCCTACCTTGTTTATCCCTCAAAAGAATTTATGAGGTGAGTATGATTACTTTTTAAAAATATATGTGCAAACTGAGACTCAGAAAAGTTAAGGAACCTGTCCATCATTACACAGCTAGAGCGTGTCAAATACAGGCTTTTAATCAACGCCCCTCGGCTTCCAAAGCCCCTATTCTTTCCACACTCCCGTGTTTCTTGTTGGAAACTCTGAGAAGTCAGGCCACAAAAGGAAACGAATCTTGGAAGAAAAATAGGCCATGGGTCCATACCTCACTCTCCCAGGCTAGCTCAGGCGTTCCTGAAAGAAGCAATATTAAGGTTGTGGAGTCAGGTTAATTCCTGTCTGTTCTGTGGCCCAGTTTCTTGCTGAAGCTGGATAAACAGTCACTCCCAGTAAGGGAGCCAGCAAAGCAGGATGGTGAGTTGGGTTCCTTCCATGGCTGACGTTTCACCCTGATGGAGAAGGTCTTGGAATGATAGAGGGTCATCAGATCATCTCAATCAACTATCTCACCGATGAAGGAGCTGGAGGCCCTGAAAGATGAAGTGCCCTTCCCAGCGCTACCAAATGAGTGGCAGAGCTGGGGCCAGGAGCTTCCTGACTTCCAACCCATCCTTTTGGTTTAGTGCCAGGCTGGAAGGGAAGGAGAAAGTTTTTCCACGGAAGCAGAGCATAGTGAGTGTGTCTCTGTTTGTGGTTTAAGCGGTGCGTGAACATTGCCTTCAGTAATTCCCCTCTAATCCTTCTGATAACATTTAGGAGAAAGTCTCCTATGAGAGCAAGAAGGTAAAGTCTTTGTTTCTCCTCCCATTTCCAATAGAGACCACAGAACTCAGATTCAGTTTTCAACGGAAAATAATTCTAAATGGAAGTTTTAAACATTGGATGACATCATATTTATTTTTACAGTGGGGCCTTGACTTACGAATTTAATTCGTTCCGAGACCGAGCTCGTTAACTCAAATTACTCTGTCAACTCAAAGCAAAAAATCGGCCGAGAGACGGCTGGTATCTCAAAAAACTCGTTAGTCGGGACACTCGTAAGTCAAGGCCCCACTGTACTTCCATTTTTAAGTGACACTCATATTCTTTGAAATATGGTGTTAACCAGTTTCATTTTCAAAGTATTATTTGAACTAAATGAGTGCATGCATATTGAGTAAATTATATTTATATACTACCGGCAATAAGTGGGTTTTGCAACAATTGTCGATGTATTAGGCCCATCTCAGCATCTCTACCTCTGTGATTTGTGTGGCTTCACTGCCTTTGAGATAAAATGCTCTGCAAAGTGGCAAAAGACACTTAGGCTTCTAGAATCTTCATTGCCAATGGAAACTCCTGAAAGGTGTGTCCCTCTGCCTCCAAGGGGGAGCCTGGGCCACCAGCAGAGCTCACCCTTTCCACGGTGGAGACCCCTTCATGCACCCCTTCCATAAAGTTAACAAAACATTGATTCTTGAACCCAGGAGAACATTGTCCAGCCAGCAGTTGACGTGGGCCCCAGGGAGCGAATATACAAATATTTATTTATCCAGAAAGTCATTTCTCTTTTGTAGGCCCTCAGCTGAGCCTCTCCCAGTGAGATGAAAGGATTACCATGTGATTATTCATTAACAGTTGCAGATCCAAGCTTTGGAGTGAGAGGGTGGGGATGGCAGCAGGAGCCAGGGCTGGCAGAAACATTTCGTGCTGACCAAGGTGACTGACCACAGATTTTGCAAGCTCTGAATCCAATTAAGTTGCAAAAGTGCTTTCCCTCAAGAAGGTGCTGACCCTGCAGCTGGCCAGCCCCACTCAAGGAGGCCTGGGGAAGGGGTTCCTATGGTTGTGTGTTTGATCCTACTCATTCACCACAAGCCCTCCCAACTCCCAGGGTCTCAGAGCTGTCTTATGCATGAAGCACTACAGGCTCGGTGCCTAGAGTCTGGGAAGTTTTCAAGGGTCTATAATATTTGAGACAGGGAAAAAAATCTTGGCTTCAGTACTGGAAAAGGCAACTAAAGAATCAAATCTTATATAATAAAAGTCTAATATGCAAATTGTCCCCTCGGGCAGTCATTCAACCGGGAGTTGGACCACTCCCTATGACGTGTACTGACCACCAGGGGGTGGCACGGAACATGGCGGGCGTCAGCGACGCTCTGTGACCTCTCACTGGCTACCCGGGGGCAGGGGTGACTGGGATGGAGGTTCAGGGAGAACGTGGGGTGTTCACTGAGCTCGCTCTCACTCCCCTGGGAAGCTCCTGTGCTCAGGTGCCAGGCGCCCACAAGGAACCTGCCCGACACTTGCACGGCCTCTTCCAGGTGAGCTGGGCCGCAGCTGCAGGACCTGTGGGTTCACACAGGAGCCGGTCTGTGAGGCTGGCCGGGAGAGAGCAGGCTGCCCACCTGGCTTCCATGCAGCACTGCTGGGCGGCCCAGAGGCCCAAGCTGTGCCTCAGCCCATGGCGTCTGGCCACGCTCACCGCATCTCCACATGGGGACTGGGGTGCTGTGACTCAGGCGGAGGGTGTGTGTGTGAGGGCCTCCAGGTGCTGCCCAGATCAGCTGGGACCTGCCCTGCTATACCAGACGCTTGCACTTCAATCGCCGGCCAGGCCTAAGGACCGCACCTGTGCACAATTTCGTGCACTGGGCCTCTAGTTTAACATATTTACCTACCAGCTACCACAGTAACATAAAGTAGATTTACTTACTTATTTATTTTTGTGAAGTGCTGCACAAATTTGCTTGCCATCCTTGCACAGGGGCAATGCTGATCTCTGTGCCGTTCCAATTTTAGTACACATGTTGCCAAAGCGAGCGCAATTTTATGTATTTTGGAATTTGGCACACATGAGTTTATTACTTTGGAATCTTAGGTTAGGTTTTCCTTATTTTACAGGAATTCTCAAGTACCATAACTGCAGAAGGAACAGTGCCCATCATAAACTGTAGTCAAATCATTTCAGAAGTAAGACTTATTAAAGTAATTTCAGGTACATTTCTGTGTGAATGATGCTGAATGAGAAATACAAATTTTATATATTTTATATATTTAATGTGGTGTGATGAAATGATAAAGTACCTAGTGTGTTATGGTGGTATTAAACATGGCCTTCAACATAATATATGTCACATTAAGGACAGGTTGATACAGGGCTCTACAACAGCAGCAGAAGGGAAGGAATAGTACTAACCACCATTTATAAACATACTAGAGGCCCAGTGCACAAAATGCATGCACTCAGGGGGGTCCCTTGGCCCGGCCTGGGCCCTCTCGCAGTCCGGGAGCCCTCGGGGGATGTCCCATGGGGAGTGGTCCTAAGCCATCAGTAGGACATCTTTAGTGCTGCCACGGAGGTGGTAGAGGCTCCCGCCGCTGCCACTGTACTCGCCAGCCGTAAGCCCGGCTTCTGGCTGAGCAGTGCTCCCCTGTGGGAGTGCACTGACCACTAGGGGGCAGCTCCTGCATTGAGCATCTGCCCCCTGGTAGTCAGTGTGCATCATAGTGACGGGTCCGTCTGCCTTTCAGTTTATTTGCATATTAGTCTTTTATTATATAGGATAATATGTGCTTGACACAGTGCTAGTTAATAGCAGTCATTAAAATAGTGTTTATTGTATGCCAAGACACTGTGCTTTATATATAATTTATTTATTTATTTTTAAAAAATATATATTTTATTGATTTTTTACAGAGAGGAAGGGAGAGAGATAGAGAGTTAAAAACATCGATGAGAGAGAAACATCGATCAGCCGCCTCCTGCACATCTCCCACTGGGGATGTGCCCGCAACCCAGGTACATGCCCTTGACTGGAATCGAACCTGGGACCTTTCAGTCCGCAGGCTGATGCTCTATCCACTGAGCCAAACCGGTTTCGGCAATATATATATATAATTTATATACAAAACAACATTATGTGTTCCATGTTATTATCCCTATTTTACAGGAAAAGAATCTGAGGCTTAGAGAGGGTAAGGTCACAGACTTAGTAAGCGGCAGGGCCAGGATGGAAAATGAGGTAGGTTTGGCTCCAAAGTTTTGTTGTCCCTCTCTGCCACACTGCTTTTCTGTTTATTAATAGCTGCCTTATGGGCTGGGAGTCACCTTGTGACCAAATTCTATTCTAATACACTGGTCTTCCTATTGTCTCCTGGACATGTGTTGTGCCCTTCAACTTTACTTCTGTGGGTGTTTTTTGCCTTGTCTCTCTCCTGAGAGCCCTCCCTCAAATGTTATCTATCCATCAGAGCTCAGCTGCATCATATCATCTTGATCATATGTATGAGCCTTTCTGTACAACTCGACCTCAGCCTAATCTCTCCAGAACATAACTTCCTTCAGCATTAACTCCTGGCGCCATTCAGATGGGTACCTTGTTTTGTTATTTAACTCTTATGTGAGTTATGGTAAACTTGTAGTTCAGGAGCCTGGCCTGTTGGCATTTCTCTAGCTCCTCAGTGCCATCACAGAGCTCACGGGGACACCCGGTGACCGTGTGCTGAACTGAGTCACCGCTCTGGTCTTCTCAGTCCCCACATCACTAACACAAAGGGTTTCAGTGTAATGATTTCTAAAATGCCTCCTGGCTCCAACTCTCTCTGAAACAAGAAGAAACATTGCAGTGCTAGTAGCAGGATTAGAATGTAAGGAGAGAACCTACAGGAAGACCCTGAAGGTAGCTGAAAAGAGGGGCAGTAGATTTCCAAAGACCAGTGTTTTTGTGTGAGGGTGCCACAGAAGTCTGTCTGGGTTGCTGGCCTGAAGGACAGAAGCACCATGAGGTGGTCTTTGAGCTGCAAGGGCCACCCCCAGTGTGGTTGTCAGGCTTCACCCCCGCATACAGCCTCCTGGTGGTGAGAGGCAGACTGCTCAGGAAGAGGGAGGGGTCTGGAGGAGCAGGGCTGGTGCCAGGGGCCAGGGCGCTGCAAATGGCAGGAGGAGCGCAGGGGGAAATGAGGTGTGTTTCTTCTACTAGTAAACCTCAGTGTGGATCCTGTATGAGATTGTCCAGCACAGGCTCCTGGTCCCTCAGGAGAGGGCAGAGGGTGTGTAGGAGAACAGGTTCAGGTGTGACTGATGCGCCGAAAGCTACGCTGCTGTGATGAGGTGCTATGAAGGGGTCTGAGAAGAACTGTTTCTGGTGCTGTTTTCCGTAGGTGCCAAGGCTGAGCCAAGCTGGGATGTGGAAGCCTTGAAGTAAAATTCACCCAGAGAAAAGCTGAATGAAGGGATAACATTGGCTTCAGGAGGCAGGTGGCTGGTGATGGTATTCTGTTGCCCTGGGCACAGCATGGAAGATTTTCAGCTAACTTTCTGCCAAACAGCTCCTACCTCCATGATGGACACATGGGGCCAGGACAGGTGACTTACTCCTAAGGTGGCTTACCTTGATATTTCTGCATTTGACTAGCTCTGGCTGAGAGTCATTCTTGTAATTCTAATTCAAAAAATGAGACCAAGCTTGTGAATATTTAGCTCCCCGGTTACTTGGTGAGTATGTAGAGCAATATCCCTGAGAGAGAGAGAAGAGAGAAAAGAAGAGAACAGCATGAACGTCTAGGAAGCTGGGTAAAGATGAGCTCAGGCTGGCAAAGCCCAGAGGGTAAAAAGGGAGAGGGGACTGCAGGGTGGCGTCCTGCTCCTGAGTAGCTCTGGAGAACAGGGCTACCTTGCCCCGGCTTCTCTGAATGCCCTCCTTGTTCTTTTTGTTGGGATCTGGGGTCTTGGCAATGAATCAGCAACCAGGGCAGGGGAGCTGGGTTGGGCTAAGATTGAGGTAGGGGCCTTGTTAGAAGCTTCCACAGGGAATCTCTCTGGGAGCGATTCTTCTCCAAGTGGTGTCCCTGGCTCTGCGGGCCGATGGCTGAGATATCCTGGAGTCTGGTTTTTGAACCCTGAGCCTCAGACTCGATCCCATGAAGTTCAGTGGCCACACTCCTCCTGGGAAGCCTCATCTGTTCCCAGGTTCATTTTTCTTTTCTGTGTAAAGGTTCTTTGGGGCCTTCTCAGGGAGCCCAATTCTTTTCTTTATATATATTTTATATTTTTATTGATTTCAGAGAGGAAGAGAGACATAGAAACATCAGCGATGAGAGAGAATTACTGATTGGCTGCCTCCTGCATGCCTCTACTGAGGATCGAGCCCACACCCCCAGGCATGTGCCCCAACTGGGAATCAAACCATGGCCTCCTGGTTCATAGGTTGATGTCCAACCACTGTGCTACACTGGCTAGGCTCAGGGAATCCAATCCACTGTGGTCTTGCCTCAGTGGGTGGCCTGTCTCCCCTTATTCCTGACTGTAGGATCTGTCCTCAAGGGTAGTCTTCACTCCATCAAGAGGGAGGCATGTGGCTCTGCGCACATGGGTTTTGTCGCCTTTAACTCACTACCAGCCTGCGCGCAGCATTTGGACCTCCCAGGGATGACAAAGACAACCATGATAAAAACAACCATGCTGCCCTGACCGGTTTGGCTCAGTGGATAGAGCGTCGGCCTGTGGACTGAAGGGTCCCAGGTTTGATTCCGGTCAAGGGCATGTACATTGGTTGCAGGCACATCCCCAGTGGGAGGTGTGCAGGAGGCAGCTGATCGATGTTTCTCTCTCATCGATGTTTCTAACTCTCTGTCCCTCTCCCTTCCTCTCTGTAAAAAATAAAAACAAACAAACAAACAAAAAAACAACCATGCTAAGCTATACTAGGGCTCTATGTTTCAGTCACTGTTCCAAGTGCTCTATGTCTATTCTCTCTCTCTCTTTCTTTTAGCATCTGAAGGACCTTCCTACTGCCCTTGCCCCATGATTATCTTATTCTCTTTCCTCAGTTCTTGAAGAGAAATACTGGTCAGAGACACACCCACATAGACAAAATGAAGACAAACCTCATCAAGGCCCATGTACTCCTGCCTAGGCTGAATGCAGATGTGTGGAAAAATTGAAATAGCTTTTTTCTTTTTTTTTTTTTTTACAATTTGAAATGTTTTTGTCTGACCTTGAGCCTTACTTTATCTATTCTTGGCTAGGAACTTTTTTTGGCAAGAGGAATGAGGAAGAGTTTGATCTTCTTTGTTTAAATTTTTTGTTCTTCTGTCATGGAAGTCAGGCCTGCTTCCTCCAGCATAGGTGCTGCCAGTCGACATTTGACACTACAGTAATAAATATAAATGATAACACCTCTCAAACTTTCCCTACATGCCAGCCACTGTACTAAGTGCTTTATGAAGTAGGTTACCTTGATATAGTTGAGGAAATTCCCATCTCCCTAAGTCAAGAGGACTTTGCATATAGTGTGTATTTCTATTATGGGTAGGACTTTCTACAGAGCTTCATTAGCAATATTTTCTCGTGTCCCTGTGGCTTCATGAAGTCTCCAAAGCTTACTGGCTTTGGAGTCCTGCACAGGTAAACATCCTGGTAAGAGCTGTAACTGCTCTTTTGACCTCTCCAGTGATGAAAAGGGGGTAGGAGAAGGACTTTAAAAGAGTGACGTCTTTTAAAAGAGTGAAGTCTTTGAAGCTCTTCTGGAGGCCTGGTTGTGTGGGAGCATAGGAGAAATGTGATGAAATGGGTCCAGGCTCTCTCAAAGAGAAGGCTTCCTGGATGTTGCTGCTGGTGGTGTTTTCTGCTGCTGTAGGTCTAGGGTTATCCTCTGGAGCCATAGCCACCATGAAGAGGGCAAACAGAATCAATGTGAGAAGGGTCCTAATCTCAAGGGCATTTCCTCTTCCTACATCCTCTCTTTGAGAGCAGGACCCTTCTTCTTCTTCTTTTTTTTTTTTTAATTAAAAATTGATTTTAGGGAGAGAGAGAGAGAGGTGAGAGAGAAACATTAGTTGCCTCCCATACACAACCTGGATATGTGCCCTGACTGGGACTCGACCTTTGCCCTTCGGTGCATGGGACGATGCTTCAACCGAGCCACACTGTTGACTCAATTGGCCGTCTTCATAGTGAGTATGGGTCATTTACTTCAGGGTGTGGAGACTTTGGGGGAACCAGTGTTAAGTAGAAAAGTCTCCTGCCTATTCTACTTCAGTCTCACACCTAGGAAAGCTACTCATTATAGCTCCAGTTCTCAGGTTAATTTCTTTACTGGATTTTATTTCTGCTCCTTAGGGCCAGGTCGAAAGAATTCTTTACAGCTTTCTATACAAGGTTGGTCAATACTTCCCTAGATATTCTCTTTCCCTTTCCAAGCACCCACCTCCAGCAACACAAATGTCTCATAACTGCCCAACTGGCATGGCTCAGTGGTTGAGCATAGATAGACCTATGAACCACGTGCCTGGGTTGTGAGCTTAATCCCCAGTGGGGGGCAGGAGGCAGCTGATCATGATTCTCCTCATTGATGTTTCTATCTCTATCTCTCTCTCCCTCTCCTTTCCTCTCTGAAATCAATAAGAATATGTTTTTAAAGAAATGTCTCATGACTAACCAGTCTCCTCTTCCTATTTTTCAGTTTTAAGATAGTAATGCATCAGGTTCAGCCAGCCTTGGTGTTTGGCTTAAACCTGTTATTCATTTTGGACCTCAGCCTTGACCTTTGGGAAGCTGAATAGCCAAATGCCTATTTCTTTAAAAAAAAATTTTAAAAATTGATTTTTAGAGAGAGGAAGGGAGAGGGATAGAGAGATAGAAACACCGATGAGCGAGAAACATCAGTGATTGGCTGCCTCCAGCATGCCCCCTTCTAGGGATGGAGCCCACAACCCAGGCATGTGCCATGACTGGGAATTGAACCGAGATCTCTTGGTTCCTGGGTCAACGCTCAACCACTGAGCCACACCAGCCAGGCAGTATGCCTATTTCAGCATTACTCCTGGCATCCCTAAATATGGTTGTGATCAAGATCGTGTGAAGGAATGGGTGACTGTCAAACCTAATCAGTTAAAGCATCAGAAATGAGAACAAGGCAGGCTGAACAGTCACTTTCAAATAGTGGTGAGCATTCTAGATGAAATTTGGAGTGAAATTTTCATTATGAACTTTTCAAAATGTTGAAATTCTATCACTCAGTGGAAGCATAAATATATATTATTTTAAGAAAAATGCTGTAATAAATTAATGGTTATGAAGGCTTATACACAAAACAATTATGAATTTTCACATAGTTAAAAAGTTAGGAAAATTAGCTGACAATAAATAATAGGAGAGAGTGTGTAAGGTTTTTTAGGAAGAACCTTACGTGCCTTTTGAGCCAAAAGTATTTATAACAACTTAATATGTAGTATAAGTACTATTTCATTTAGCAATAGTATAAAGTAGAACTATAAAAATAGATTATATTATAATTCTGTCTATAATTTCATTATATAACCTTTGTAGACTTAATTGCTGTATTAGCATTTATCATGTTAAATAAAACAATCCATAAGCACTGTAATTTTTTGGAGGATTTTTTTATTGCGGTATAATTTACATACAGTGAGTACACATTACGAGTACAGCCCAATGAGTTTTCACAAAGTAAACATATCCAGACCAAGCAAGAACCAAGTCCAGCTTACCTTTTACTCTTTCTCAGCCAGTACTCCCCAAGGTGATTTTTACCTCTGTCACCACAGATTACTTTTTAATTATGTTTAATTTTTAGTTATTTAATACTGTTTGGGTCAGGCGTCTTTCAAGAAAAAAGTCCTATTTGGAAATTCTTCTCATTTGAGCCTTAAAGGCATAATTTTAACAAGTTAAAAATTTTGTGATGACGATGTCTTCAAAACCATAATATCCATACGGAAAATCGTCAGTAAAGAATATATGAAGAGTTGTGAAAAAAGAAGAAAGTGAAGAGAAAATCAGCTACCCCAAATATCTTGTACCTCAGTTGAAAATCTAGTTAAACTGATAAATGTATAGTATAGTCTCTATAGGATGTATAGATTTTACACTTAGCCATTTGACCACAATGTATATTTCATTCAACCCACTGTGGTATATTTAGTGCATCTCTACTTTCAAGACTTAACTTATTGGCCCCACACTCAGCTTGAGTTGTTCAATGTTTTTTTTTTTCTCCTTTCTGTTGATCATCCCTTCCCTACCTTCTCTCTTCATGGTCTCAAACCACCCAGCCCACCTAACAGGACTCTGCCTGCAGATTCATCTTCTAGCTGACTCCTGTGTCATTTTTAAATCTCACTGCAACCTATTCGGTAGGTGATATTACTCCCATTTTGCTATGTGGGAACACAGCTGCAGAAAGGGTCGAGTTGGCTCGAGGTCTGTAGCCATGAGCGGCTGACCCCAGATTTACACCCAGTTCCATCTGGCTCCAAAGCTTCCTCTAACTCTGGTAAGAGGTAAAGGAGCACTATACTTGTTAGTAGCATTCAGTAGAGGGGAGACTCCCCAGCTGGGGAGGGAAGATCTAACACTCAGCTGGGTGCTGAAGCAGGGCGGGCAGGTAAAGGCATGGTGCCATTGGTCTGACATTGAGATAAAAGGAGAGAGAAGGGGCTGCAGGCCATGTGGGAGAGACTATCAGGACCAGGCAACACAAAGCCATAGCTTCTCCAGCTCTGCTTACCGGGAGGGAGAAATGATGTCTGCAGCCCAGGGGGACAGGGAGATGGCATTTCCATATCTCAACCTCAACGGCCTGGGCTGACTGCCAGAGTGGAGAGCCAGGGAAGCACCGAGGCAGGAGAGATGATTATCAGGAGGAAGGAAGCTCTGGCAGCTCCCACCAGCCTCTTTGTGACAAGTAGGCTCTGGGCCACGGAAGTCCATTGAGGTCAAGGGAAATGTGACCTAGAGCAGGGGGGTGAAGCTGGGGTACTCCCTCACTTTACACCTTCAGGAGGAGGGGGTCTAGCTAGAGACAGCCCAGGGACCAGATGGGAAAAGCTATGGGCTGGAGAAGGGGGAGGACAATTAGAGAGGCAGAAAGAATGAATTGAGATCCTGGAGTACCTCCTAAACAGTCTCTTGGCTAGAGAGGTAATGACCTTTATTGCGCTCAACACAGAGCAATTGGCTCTCCAGAGCTCTCAGGGTACATTTCTTCATGGGTGAACTCTTACCTAGTTCTCTTGTCGCTGCCGACGTCTCCTTTTTGTGCCCAATGGTAAAGTAGAAAGTGCACTGTACGGAGAGGAGGAGGCTTAGGTTCAAGTCCAGGTGCTGCTACTAACCAATTTCACAAGCTCTTTAATTAACCAAGCTTTCTGAAATCTCAATTTCCTCATCCCTGAAGAAAGCAAATCATCAAGCCTATGTCACAAGGGACTCTTGCGGCTGCTCCATGAAAAACATGAAATACTATGACATTTGTCTTAGGAACCAGAACAGCTCTGTCCATAAATCCCACACCCCTCTTGTCATGCTGCATGATAGACAGGGCAGAGAAATGCACAGGCACAGGCCAGGGAACCCCTCCCCTCAGCGTGCTCAGCTTCTCTCTTGGGATAAGTTTCTGGGAAAACAGCAACAAAAAGATAGAAGACCGTCTCTTCTGGAGTTTAGCCCACCAAGCTGCCCCTCAGGAAAGCCTGAGCTGGGAGAGGCCCCAAGAAACAAAAGGAAGAGAAGCTTCTGGGCATAGGAGCAGCAGCACAGA